GAATGAGCTAAACATGGGATTCTCAAGGCAGCTTTCAGAGGCAGTACACTCAAGGGGCATGGTTGTCATGGGTGACCTTAACTACCTTGACATCTGCTGGGAGGAGCAGTCAGCTAGATCTGACTGTTCACATAGGTTCTTAACCTGCATAGAGGACCTTCACCTAACACTTTAACTATGGCAATTAGTGACAAATATATAGGACAAGGCTGAGCTCTTCAGTGAGTTTTTTGCCTCTGTATTCCTGAACTCAGATGAGGACAAATCTCTCAATTGGATCATAGACAGGCACAAAAGGGATACCAGCCCACCAACTGTTAGCACTGACTCAGTGAAGAGACATCTGAAGGAGCTGGATGAGTTTAAGTCAGCAGGCTTGGACGATCTTCATCCACAAGTGCTGAAGAAATTGGCCAGTGTCATAGCTGAGCCACTGGCATGGCTGTTTGAGCACTCTTGGTGCTCAGGGCAGGTCCCAGAGGACGGAAACAGAGCCAGTGTGGTCCCCATTTTCAAGAAGGGGAGAAAGGAGGATCCAGGTAACTATAGACTGGTTACTCTCACCTCTATCCTTGGGAAAATTTTAAAAAAATTATTAAGGATCACATTTGTGGGAGTCCAGTGGGGAAAGCAATGCTAAAAGAAAATCAGCATGGATTCATAGCAGGTAGATCCTGCCTGACTAACTTTGTTTCTTTTTATGACCAGGTCACAAAATGCTTAGATGCAGGAGTTGAGGTAGATGTCATCTACTTGAATTTTAAGAAAGCCTTTGATATGGTATCTCATACTATTCTCACAGATAAACTGAGTGGCTGTGATGTAGATGATTATACGGTCAGGTGGGTGGCAAACTGGGTTATGGGTTGCACCCAGAGAATGGTGATGGATGGGTCAGTATTGACCTGGAAATATGTGGGCAGTGGAGTCCCACAAGGCTCAGTCCTTGGACCGGTGCTGTTCAATGTCTTCGTCAGTGACTTGAGCATGGAAAGCCAAATTTGCAGATAATACCAAATTATGGCATAACGTAGACACACTGGAGGGCAGGGAATGGATTCAGGTAGATTTGGACAGGCTGGAACAAAATAGGATGCAGTTTAACAAGGGTAAGTGCAAAGTACTGCACCTGGAGAGAAGGAATCACCAACACACATACGGATTGGGAAATGACTCTAAGCAGCACAGCAGCAGAAAGGAATCTCAGAGTCATAGCAGACCCAAAGATGAACATGAGTCAACAATGTGATGAAGTTATCAATAGAGCTGAAGGCAATCAGGACTCGTAGTAGAGATGACATCTTTTATGTGACCAACAAGACTTTTGCAAAAAAAAATTCTTTACTTTTTTGTTTTCAAAAAATCTTGTTGGTCTCTGTGTCAGGGCACTGTGTGTGCCTGCCCTGTAAGGCCCTGGAGCTGGCAGCCTTCAAGTGCCTCATAAAGGCAGCCATTTTAGGTTCAGGGCTGCTCATATAAACAAGGCAGTTTGGCCGCTGGAGGCCAGGCAACAACACTGCCTGGCCAGAGGGCTGCTGAGTTTCATCTGGAGGTAAGGGAGGAGCTGTAAGGGATGGTAGGAGGCTCCTGGTCCTGGGTACAACCTAAAACTACACCCTGCCGGGAGTGGGTGGCCTGGTGGTGCTCCCAGTGGTACGGGAGCCCCCAGGAAGTGCCAGGCCAATTACCACCCCGGTGAAAGGCGGGTCGGGGCACCTTAAGGTAGTCATGGGGGTCACGTTCTATCGGAGGTAGTTGTGGGGGGGGTTAGTCCCAAGGAGGAGAGTGGGGAGTTGAAAGCCAGGTATGGCCGAGGCCGCCTGAGCCCAGCAAGGGTTTGAGACCTTGAGGGAGAAATTTGGGGCCAGGCATGGCTATGGCCACCTGAGCCCCCCAAGGAGGGAAGCCCCGAGACCTCAAGTAGAGGGAGGATTATGAGTGCTGAGGAGCCTCCAGTTGAGAAGGGGGCAGTTCTGAGGAGCCCCCAGTTGAGAAAGGGGGCGGTTAGCCTAAGAACAGGTGGGCAAGCCTCGATTGGATCGGCCCCAAGCGCACCCCCCTGTTACAGTCTCATAAAATATATAATCTCTACTATGAGTCCTGATTGCCTTTTCCTCTAGACCAATACAGCTACAACCTGGATACCTGACACAATAGAGCTAACCATACTCTATCATGCATTAACAGGTGCACATTAACATGCATTAACAGGTGCCACACTAAGCAGACTCTGGTTGGACCCAAGGTCATGGACCAGTATGTTAGGAACCTATTCTTTATGGGAGTGATTTTGATGTACAATAAATCCTAATAACAGGAATATCTTTATAACAAATATCTTTCCTAAACCTGACGTAAAATTATTTATCTGCTTCCACTTGCCATTATATTCAAAACACAGTAATTTTCCCCCAAAAAATGAATCCACGGTGATTATATAATAAAAATTGTTTTTCTTAGTAGTGAAATTTTCCTGTAGTCTGGGAAACTCTACCCAGTAGTCTGAAGAAAAGAAAACTGAAGGGAAGATTTGCTTACAGTCTTTAAATACATGAAGGGTGATTATAGAGAGAATGGAGATAGACTTTTATTTTGTGACAGTAGGGGACATGACTGGAAGCAGTAGCCTAAAACTGTAGTGAAGGAAATATAGATTTAATATTAGGAAGAACTTTCTGACTTATGAGAGTGATCAAGCATAGAACAGGCTACCTAGAGAAGTTGTGGAATCTCCATCCCTGAAAATGTTCAAGAGCAGGTTAGTCAGACACTTGGCTGTGACGGTTTAGTCAAGGACGATCCTGCCCTAAACAGGCAGCTGGACTAGATGACCTTGTGAGGTCCTTTTTAGCCCTACTTTCCAATGATTCTATAAATGTTTTCCATAGTCCATTGTCTTTTATTCTTACAACAGGAAAAAAAAAACAGCAAATGTTAGAAAAGTCTGTACAGGCTAAAAACGTTGATGGCTAGCGTAGGGCGCAAATGATAACATTAATGAGTGTTTCTGGTAGACACTCATTAAGGCACTAGTAAGGCAGTGATCTTAAAATTGGCTCAATGGCTATGTCTCTTCTGGAAAAAAGCCATGCTCGCACTACCTATTTTAAATAGATTCCTACCGTTGCTATCAAAACATACCTTGAGAAAGTATGATGGCTTTCCACCTGCTCTGTAATTGGAGGATTACTTAAAGATCAGAATATTAGCAAAAACAAAAGAAGAATGAAAACAGTCTCAACTACCAGCATTAGCACCTGAAACTAGGCCTTTGTGTTTCTTCCTGTAACAAAGTGCAGGGAAGTTTTGATGAGACTCTCTGACACTCTGAAATGTTGACTGGGTTCTGTACCTCTTTTGGTTAGAAGGAGACCCCACAACTAGGCGGTGGTTTTAAATTTGGGGGATTAACTCTGAGCCAGGAACAAGACGCAATTCAGGAACACAGTCCTAGATTAGGTAGATTACAGCCAAGTTTGGCTCAACACCTTAAAAGAGAAGTAGCATTTGGGGATTCCCCCCAATATACCCCATTCTCATCACCCCCTCCTTTTCCCTTCATGCTTGTGGCAGCTCTCCTCTCATACCCCTCTCCGCCCCATCTCTACTTATACATCTGGCTCCTCGCGCAACTTGACTGGAGTGGGCAGAAGCTGTTCTGGAGTTTCCCCAATCCTTGGGTTAGCCATGAACAGCATCAGTAGTGGGTGGGAGAGGAGGGAAATGGGAGGGGAGAAGAGGTCCTACTAACCACAGAGGGGAAGGGAAGGGGTACCAAGAAGGTGGGGGAGGATTCTTATCTATTCTGGGGACTTACATTCCCCAGTTTTCCTGCAGTATGGTCTGATAGGAGGTTGTGGCTATGCCACCACACCCCCTATGGATTCAACTCTGGACATACCAGTTGAATGGGCAGATGACAAAGGCCAGCAATCGCAGTAAAATATAGGCGTTATTTTGCATATGCAAGACTTTTATTTTATATATCTAAGTTTTACTACTTGTAAAAGCACATGAAAATAATTCAGTCAGGGACTTTGGGTTTTCCAGAACCTCTTTATTAAAGCCTGACTGACAAAGTGTGGTTTTGTATTCAAAGTTCAATCTCTAGAGAATGTTCTTCTCACTCTACCCCCTGTTTTGTAATGCTTCCTGAAAGAAGGTTTCAGTCATTTAAAATGTACCTCACTATGACATTCTTTTGTCGATGATTAACTCTATTTCCCTCGTCTGATTTAGTAAATCAGACAGAATAAAGCCTAGGCAGTTAACTCTAAGCATTGCGGTCCAACAGAAAACATTTCACAATTACAATTTGATATTACTTTTCAGAATAAAACAGAGGTGGCTTATGCAAAACACAATGTATAATTTAAAGAGCATAATTTTGTTCTGTTACAAGTCATACAACTCTTTGAATTTGTTCTTCTCTATTAAATAAATATATTTCCCACAATTATCATACAAATTAAGTTGAAGTTGAAATAGTCCAAAATGGACAATGTGAAGAAGAACCCTATGCATGTAAGATATATTATTTAAAATAACCCCAAAAATCAGTGAAACTCATACAGATCAGTAGCAAATCCTGTAAAAAGAAGATGGTCTTTGATGAGAGAGGATTTTAATCACTGCTGAAAATCAGACAGTATTAGTAAATGCTTCCAAGAGGTCAAAACTTTATACAAGTCTTTGAATGTTTAACTCTTTGGAGCAAGGCTTGTCATTTATTATATACTTGTACAACATCTGGCATATCAGAGCACCTAGTGTAATAGTTATGCCCTTCAGGTGTGACTATGAAATAATAGTATTTCTCTTCTTGAGATATATATAGCTCAGCAAAGGGCTGCTCGATTTGTTCATACACATGGCCACTTCTAAGTCCATATGGACAAAATTACTGAGTTTGTTCCTTGGATGATTCTGTTAAACAACCTGTGATGGACCGTTAAGGGAGTTCCCAGTAATTTAACAACTCTGCTTAGCAAGGTAGGAGACATACAGAGGCCGATTCACTTCATATATTTTAAAGATGGATTGTTTTATTTTTACCCAGCGGCTTGATTAAACCATAGGGTGCCTTTTTTACTACTACTACTGCTTCTTTTTAAAATGTGCCATTGTATTGTTTTACAGTATTTTAAAGCTACTCGTTTTTATTGTAGCCCTAGAATATTCCAGTTGCTGCTGTTTTTTGAGGAGAACAGAAATTCTGGAAGGTATTTTATTTCCCCAAGTTAGCTTAACTAGGATGCACCGTATGGTTATCAAAAGGCGTGATTTTTTTGGAGAGTTTGACAGGTGGCTTGTTTCTTGGTACAAGGAGATCAAGAAATTCACTTGATAACCAAGAATCAGTCCACCTACAAACTGTGCCCCTTAATTCATCAGACCATCCGGTTAAGTCTGAGTTAAAAGAAGTAGGATTGGGCTAATTTCAAACCCATCTGAGAACTGTTCAAAAAGTATTGGGCTGGTTGAAACTAAAATTGATTGAACCCAAATTCAGGTCCTAGAGTTTGACAAAAGAATAATGTGGACTTTTTATTCAAAGTAGAGTTATAGTTTTTCTTGATTTATTCTGTCTGAAAGTGAACGGCTGTAATTTTAAAAAAATAATTTCTGGCGCAATGATTTTATAATTTGTGAAATTATAAATGTTGCCAGTGTCATAAATAGTGACATCTGTAAGCTGCTAAAAGAAAGCTCAGAAACAGAAAACTAATACAGTTCACAGAACAACCTTACTCAGAAAGATTAAACAGAGGGCCCAATTTTGGCCTGACTTATGCCTGTGCAAATTTGGCCCACTGTTTCTGAATGAAAGTTCTTTCACCTGAAGATAAAAACAGGAAGAGATCTTCATTAGTGAGCTAAGATGGGACTACTCATGTGTTCAAATGACAACATGAGAAAAGTCTTCCTAAGTCTAGTGGCCAATCAATCTGGTAGAGTTAAAGCACAGCAGTTTCTGTAGGCATTGGCACATGGTGGAACAAGGTAGCTACTAACATCTTTAACAGCCCAGCCTGAGCAATTGGAGGTGGCCTTCAGTACAAGTCTGGAGTGAGGCTCAAACTCTGTTATCTCTGGAGCCCTAGTGAAAGGCCTCCAGGACTCTGCTATTGCACCTCACATTTTAGAAGATAAGAACATGCATAATAGGGCTGTGTGAAATGTTGCTGAGTGTTTCGTTTTGAAGCTGTTTTAATGCGTTTTGAGCTCAAAACAGTGAAATTGAAATGAAACAAAAACCTTCAGATCAGCTTTGAAATGAAACGGGCACTCAAAATGTTTTGAAAGCTTTGAAACATTTTGAGTTTCGAAGTCAGGCTTACTTGGCTTCAGCGCTGGTCCCAGCCAGCAGCGGCAGCTTCCTGTCATCTGGCACACAAATCTGGGGGCCATGCTCCACAGGAGGAATCTGGCACAGTCCTGCAGCCCCTCCAGGGGTGCAGGCCCCCAGATCTGCATGCAGGATGCCAGCATGCTGTCACTGCCAGCTGGGGCCAGTGGTAGCAGCAGTCTTCCTGGCACTCGACATGGACTGCACCCAGTGCCAGTCCCAGCCAGCAGCAGCAGCCCCCTGTCTTCCAATATACAGATTGGGGGCCTGCCCGCACCCCTGGGAGGGCTGTGGGGCTGTGCTGGACTCCTCCTGGGGGCCCTCAATCTTCATGCCAGATGATAGGATGCTGCTGCTGTTGCCTGGGACCGGCGCTGGCCACAGCCTACATCCAGCACCCAGAAGACTGGTGTTGCCACTGGCCCCAGGCAGCAGCGGAAGCCTCCCGTCATCCAACACACAGATCTGGGGGCCCACACCAAGGGAGGAGTCCAGCACAGCCCCACAGCCCTCCCGGGGGTGCGGACCCTGAATCTGCACACCGGATGACAGGAGGCTGCTGCTGCTGCCTGGGACCAGTGCTGGGAGCAGTCTGCACCCAGCGTCAGGAAGACTGGTGCTGCTGCTGGTCTCAGGCAGCAGCGGCAGCCTTCTGTCATCCAGCACGCATATCTGGAGGCCTGCACCCCCCAGGAGGAGTCTGGCACAGTCCTGCACCCCTCCCAGGAGTGTGGGCCCCTGGATCTGCATGCAAGATGACAGCATGCCATCACTGCCAGCTGGGGCCAGCAGCAGCACCAATCTTCCCCATTCTGTTTTAGTGTGTTTCTAGACCACCCTGTCATGGTCTTTCTGAGTTCTTTGCAACACTACTATTTTTCTGTATTCAAAAATCAAGTAAAAACTAAGAGTAATCATTTTCCATGGATTGCCTTGAGTCTAAGAAAAAGGTGCCTTGAGTCTAGGAAGACTGAGAATCAGTGCCCTAAAATCATTATCTACATTGTGTCTTGTGATATCTTTAAAGAATCATAAAATCATAGAAAATAAGGGTTGGAAGTGACTTCAGGAGGTCATCTAATCTAATCCCCTGCTCAAAATAGAACTACCCCCAGACTATATCATCCCATGCAAAGCTTTATGTAGCTGGGTCTTAAAAACCTCCAAGGATGGAGATTCCACTGCCTCTCGGTAACCTTTTCCCTCCTTGTGAGAGAGTTTTTCCCAATATCTAACCTAAACTTTCCTTGCTGCAACTTGAAACCATTGCACCTTGTTCTGCCATCTGCCACCACTGAGAATTCTTTGGAACCACCGTTCAGATAGGTGAAGAAATAGTACACATCTGCACAAAAACTGTATGCCCGGTATTAACTAAAGTGACTATAAGCATAGTTGCATATGAAATTTATTAAACAAAGATCTGAAAAACCTTCTCTTCTTCCTCCTTACTCTTCCATGTACATTTTTTTAAACCAAATTTTGCACTGATTATGTTTTCTTTGGAAGCTGTAGTGCTGTATCATGAAGCAAATGTGGAGGATGCCATTGCTAGCTCTCTTGCATCAAAAACACTGCTAATTACCAGTAACTGAGAAAACAATGCAGTGATTTCCCACCTGTTTATGCAAACAGCAATAGTATTGAGTTGGCAGGAGGTAGAAGAATGCTGTTGTAGCAGTTAAACTACAAATCACAGATTGAAACTCTTCTCTAACCCTGGCACCTCACGTAACAATAAGAATGGGTCTGTTTGGGGAAGAAAATGTTAGAAACAGCCAAGCCACTGTACATACTTTGATCTATAAATCTAGGCAAATAAGCTTTCATGGTTCCAAGAACACATGTGAACAGATGTAGCTGTACAATGAAACTTAACTTTTACCAAGGGGAAATAATTTTGGCCACAGAGAAGAGAACCAAAGTATGAGATCCTTATCATACAGTACATGCTTTACACCAGAGTTTCTGCAGAACGTATCTCTTGTGTTCTTTGATGAACTGAGCTCATCCTGTTTGGGGAAGAGTTGGGTAGTGAGTGTATATATGTGTGGTTTCTTGTTTTGGGTCTCTCTCTAATTCTACATATTCTTGAGGAAGGAAATGTAATTCAGAACAGCTAAGGATAAAAGAAAATGCTTTGGATCACTGAATCTGACAGACAAACCAAAATACTGGATTTCCTTAAATTTATGCTTCAGTTTGATTTAAAAACGGGGGGCGTTTCATCCAGTTTATATTTATAAATATAGTTCCATTTTAAAATGAAGCATCATTTGAAAAGAGAAGATCAATCCATTTTAAAAATATCAAAACTCCTTTTTTGGGAGGAGACGGGGGAGAGCAGCAAAACTATTTTGTCTAATTTAAATCAAATTTTGGAATCGTTTTACATTGACCAACTGCATGTTTGGGCAAATAAGGTCTTTGGTTAATTAACTTCACTTAGCCTGACTGCACGCCTCCTGGAACAGTAATCTTACATTTCTTCTTCTATTTCATCTGCCACATTTTACTCCCTATTCATATAACATTGTTTCAGCATCAGGTGTATACAGAAATGGTTCTACTTTCTCCCTAGTGGATATCCCAAAGAAAAGAGACAGAAGAGAGCAAGCAAGATTCTACCGTAGAAGCATCTGCCATTCTGTAATGCTGCCATGCCTGCTCTTCCCCTGACAGCAGTGACAAATTCAGAAGCTTTGCTATGCCAGACTCTTCCACTCGTGCTTCCAAAATAGCTCTGTCTGAGTATGATGCTAGCACCACACATACATGCATACTGCAAGAAGTAGCATTAACCTCTGCACAGCTATTTGCCAGATCCCCTGAGGATTGTACGCAACAGAACAACTGCTCCCTCCCCTGCTTTCATTGTGTTATTTCTTCATTTCATATTAAGTTCCTGTGTATGTATTCAAGTATTATGTTAATGTAATAAAAATGATTAAAACATCAATGTCTGGGGTTGTTTTTTTAATAGTTGCAAGCTTTTTTCCTTTTTGCATTAATATGAACTTAGCCCATCTTTATTCCTCAGTCTCCAACCCCCACCCCCCACTTCCCCACCACCACCTTCACTCATCCAGTTCTTGTCAGCCTACAAGATTTGGTATAGCATCATAAAATAAATAAGGATGCCCAGCCCCCTAGATATGCTCTAAAATATCTGGAGCAATAAGCCCCAGAGTTTATTCATGTACACTACTTGCACATCTAGACACACCCAAACAATGGTAAAGAAGCCTGGATAGCATTAAAAAGGACCCACGATATCTACTCTCAGATATGAATGTATAGCTTTGGATAGTTCCATAGGAAACGTTTGTAGACCATAGAGTGGAAAGTGGATTAGAGAGTAGGGAATTATCTCAAAGCAATGTTGGATGCATACCTGTAGTACTTTCCTGCTTTCTGAGAAAAAAAATCTGGCTATTTATGTTTCCTGACTGCACTATAAGGATGCAGGGCATGTGTAAAATTCATTGGAGGTGACTACTGCCTTCATGTGAAGGAAAATATCAGTCCTACAGGTGTCAGATTTGTGAAGCTCAGTAATAACCAGGAGTCCTGGTTTTCTCTGATAAAAAAAATCACTAATTTTCAAATTAAAAAGAATAACCCAAAAATCCACATTTTCCCATGATTGAAATGAAATGCCACTAATATATATAATACTATATAGTATTATATAGTAAAATTACATATCTATAATATATTATATATTTTATATATTACTATATATTATATATATGGTGTTTAAATAATAATAACATATAGTAATATATCATATATAATATAGTATAGATATATAATATTACTATATAATACTATGTAGTATTATATATATAGTGGTCCTTAATTCTCTTCACAGAAAATGTGGATTTTGGGTTACTTTTTTAAATTTGAAAATTGGGGATTTTTTTTACCAGAGAAAACCAGGATCCCTGGTAATAATGTCATCAGTGTTCTTTGGATACAATGGAGGAGACAACTGATGATAGAGTATCGTGCCAGACGTTAGTTTCAGAAAGGTCATGTGCTCTATTTAGAACTTTGCTACAGCTCAGTGCAATCCAAAATACCATTACAGTTGTTGTATTTTGGACTGGGCTGCTGACCAGTGGTAAAATTATATACTGTCGGGTTTAAACAAAAAGAAAGATATTTTTTCAATGTCTGGTATGATTGTTAAGGCTTTATAGAAAAAAAATATCTTCCATCATTGAGTTTTTCCATACTGCTAGTATCCTAATGCTATTAGGCATGTCTACACATGCCCCAATGGTGTAATTATTACTGCACTATTATTTAGTACTTGCTTTAGGAAGTACTAAATGATGGCACAGTAACAGCCATTACTGCATGTCCTGGTAGCACACAGTTATTTTTAGCAGCTACCTCACGGCTAAAGGGCTGTAGGTAGCAAAGGGCTCTGGAGTCAGCCCGCCAGCCCAGGGCTGCTCCAACTAAGCCTGGTGTGCTGCAGAGGGGCTGGCTGGGGCATGAGAATGCTTCATTGTGGGGCTAGCCCACAGACAGCCCACACACTGAAGCACTCTTGTGTCCCATCCATTTGAGTCAGTGTCTCCACGTGTGCTATTGCACATGAAAAAACTCTGCAGCAGGGCAGGACTTGTATTTACAAGTCCTGCCCTGCTGTAGAGTGTATTCGTTTTGTGCACCCTAATAGGGGTGTACATGTAGATGCTGAGATGTTTACTGTGTGGTTAATTAGTCAACAGTTCAGTAAATGTCTCATGTAGACTTGCCCTTTGTCTTTGAAATTCCAACAATAAAAATGCATATCACCAGTACATATTTTGTTGAGAAAAGGTACTTGTTGGCATGTCAGGTTATATAATCTGTAATTATATGTTTCAATAAGCAGGAAACACCACAGAAGCAAATATAACACAATCTTTCATTTGAAAGGAATAAATAAAAATAACATCCAATTCTTACGACTGATTTTGACTATTAAAGCACTACTTTTTGACTGCACATGCACAGGATCCAGTTCTCCAATGACTCACACTGACTGTTACCAATGTAATTTAAGTAACATCAATGGAATCTTCCTGATATACCACATTGTTTTATATAAGAGAAGTCCAAGATAGTTCCACATAGGGAAAAAAATAAACAGCGATTTACAACTACTAACTATTATTTTTCTGTTCTCAGCCCAGCAGTTCTGGGTATATGTAAATGTGCATTAAGGAAATGTTGTTTATTTAATGGTAACAACTCATTTTTCCTTTCCTAAATCCATTCTTTCCTCTTCATCCATTCCTATGGCCCAGTGTAATCTCAAGGGGTCATGCTGGGAAGAGTTTCTGCAGATTTCTTCACTGTAGACTCTAAGGTCAGTCAGAAAGTGTTCCAGTTTTCCAGTTCACAGAGGTCGGTGAGGTCAGTCAAAACCATTGCTTCCTTTTTGTGCTGAAAGCAGGAAACCAGAATCCAAAGCTCTATAAAAATAACTTTAGGGGAACATAAATGACACAAATGAAACAAAAACACATTTTTCGTGGAGCTGCCATGAATTCTTCTGAAAATCTGCATTCACAGAAAGTTATGCCACATGCTTTTTTTTTAAAATGTGTCTGTTCTTACAGTGTTTCTTGATTTCCCAGAAAGGCAACAAAAGAGATCAAGCAAGGACATGGGGCATGTTTTCTCTGAAGAAGCCTTGAAGCGTTGTGCTGCTTGAGCCAAAACAAAAAGCTAACATTACTTCAAGTTGCAAGGTTGCCCTTTTCTGCCCACCCCCAATGCCTGTGCTGTAGCCCCCATTACAACTTTTAGTCCAGTGTTTGCTTTTTTAAGTTATTTTTGCCCTTGCTATTTAGTTTTGGTTTATTTTGGTATTTCCCTTGTGCTAGTGCTCAGGCCAGGG